TCGATATAAAGGTAATAATTTTGATGATGGATACATCATCCAACTGAATGAAACCAATATAATTATAATATAGTTCGACGGTAGACATTTTAAAAGTTGTAAGTGACATTTTGACTTGAGGGACATTTTGTGGTACAAGAAAATATCCCTTACGACATTTCAAATTTCTACCGTCGAACTATAATTATTATAATTATATTGGTGTCATTTGATTTTTTTTAAATTTTCAAATCGTGTCCTCTCAATTCCATAATTTTCAGTTACGACAGTATTTGCTTTCGTGTGCCATATACGAACAAGCCCAACTACGTTATGATATTTGCTCTTTGTTGTGATATTGATGACAAGATGTATTTCCTAGTATGTACAGTAGTTCATATCTTTCTTTCTCCATATTATTAAGCTATTCATAATACCTACATTGACAAGATTAGGTATGTTCATTGCGGAAGGCGTTTAGGTCTAGCCCAAGTAAAAGCACGTGTGTCCGCGGTCCGCAACGTTTCATGTGGTCTTTGTGGACGTCAAAGCGCCTATTTTACGTGTGGTGGGTGCAGGGTCCTATTCTTGCCACCCAAGCTCCTCCAGGAATCTCAGCAGCCTCCTCGGTTTGCTGAAGACTGGGGAGCGACCTCGGCACTCCAAGGTACTTCGCCCTTTAATTGGCTACACCGGAGCCTTGTAGTAGAAAGTGCACAGCCGTTTCCTGCCCCTCCATGCACGGTCTGCATAGAGGGCTGTCTGCGATACCTAAATTGAAAAGGTGTTTATTGTATGGACCATGACCCGTTACGGCGACAGTTAGAGTGCGAAGCTCTTGCCTTTTGAGTTTAATTAATATTCGAGATAGACTGGCGTTGAGCGTTGGGAGTGCTTCCCTCGCCTGTCTACAAACCGTAAGGGTGGTCCATGTGTTATGTGACAATTTTGTACCTTTATGTATAGTCGTTCTGGACCATTGGTAGGGGAGGGACACTGGGTGTTTCATGTGGTCTTTCAAGATTGTTTCTCGAAATAATTTTACGTAGAGAATACATTAATGAATGAGTTCGAAAGGAGGACGAATGAGCACGATACTGGCAATGACAAAATATGTCCATGCTGCATCGGGAATTTAATAAAAAAAGAAATAAAAACCTAAAGCTACATAACACAGCAGTGTGGCTTATGATTGTGTTTTGTTTTTCGTAGGTTACCTATCAACTCAAAAACCGGAACATTCAGTACGGTCATGTCCCAAGGGACTGCGAACGCCATAATCGGCTTCGGCACACGAACAACCAATGCTACCACTATCATCGGCACTCCAACGCAGTACGTCAACGTGTCATCCAAGAATTTCCCAACCGGTAACATCTTGCATAACGCTATCGTCTCGCGGAACATAATCAACCGTAATAGCTTTTCTGCTACTACATCTGGTGTGACCTTCAACGTGACCACAGTCAAGCCCTCTCTGCATACTACAGCTCCAAAGATAAGTACCAACTCAACGAGTTCAGCAGATTTTGATAACATTTCTACAACCAAAGATATGATTGACAACGCATGTAGCTCATCTGTAATGTTGAAGAAAGTACTAACATTGGGCAGTGCGGGAGCTACAAAGTCTTTTATGATGCACAATACACAAAAGGTCTTATCAACTGGGTTCGCTAATGGGGCTACTCCACCGCCGAATGTTACTATCGTCAGTTCTGGAGCAAGTGGAGGGGTAATAAGCAACAATAATGTTGGAAATACGACTTCCAACATTGTAAGTCCTACTTCGGGAACGTTGAGTGCTACACACGCTACATTGTCTGCTCTTCTCGCGTCCAGTGAGAACTCACAGACTAACAAAAACTAGCATAGTATTCAAGAGGTCTTATCCTCTGGTTTCGCCAATAGATCACCGCCCCCAAATGTGACAATTGTTAGTTCTGGTGCAAGTGGAGTAACATACACAAGTTCAAGCAATGCTAGTACAAGCAATTTGAGAGCAAGTCATTCGATTTTGTCAGCTCTTTTGACGGGCAGTGAGTACGGTGATATAAAGAAACATTGACATTACGACACAGATAATGCGCTACAAAAATGTTCCCAATCATTATTGATCTCATTTATTAGTGTTAAGGTGTAAACGACTGTAGTCTTTCCCTAATATCATAAGACATTATAATTGGTACAAAGATCGAACAAACACAGAAAAACAATCCTTCTATCCAACTGGACTTGAACCAGTGTCTGTCGCCTCAACGTAGAGACCGCTACGGATCGAGTCAGTAGATCTTAGGAATTTCCCTTTACGATCGTTGCGGATCTTTGTATTGGGTTTTTAACCGGCTTCCTTCTCGATCTTTGTATCAATAAGAAACTAGTGGAGTATTTTCACAAAAAATAGATTAATATTATCATGGTAGAAAAAACATCATGATATCCAACAAAAATAAAATATCATAAGACTTGTTTCAGAGTAGCTTTAAAGGGGTGTACATAGGGAATATGAACTTTTATGCCACTACAGATGAGGCTCATAAGTTGTGCTACTATGTAACTATACCTAAACTCCACATAAGCTTGAAGCGCGTCTCTGAAATCGTCCCAATGATCTAAAGGCTAATCGCGTGAGGCGAAATCCTACCCGATAGTATTGCTATTCTGTATTTCCAGCTTAAGTGGCCTTTTAAATTATTATTTGTACTAATCTGTAAACTTTGACAATGTTGTCTTTAATGCTGTCAAACTTTTGATAGATAATTAGTACAAGCAGACAAACGTTTTATAGTGCTGCAGTTGCCATCAAACTTTAGACGTTTTAGTGGACTCAGCACTGCCTACTTATTAGTCTACGCAGAATGGCGGAAATACAGAATGGCGATGCTAGCAGGCTGTGTCCCGCCCTACGCGGTTAGCATGTTATGTTAGCTTTAGTGTGTTTCGATTTATGCAAAAATTGATGTTGTCTCGTAGGATTACAAATAGTTATTGCGATTACGTCTCGATTAACGCTCCACTAATAAATATTAAACTATAGTTTTCATGTGATACATAGTTGAATAGGTACAATATCGATACAAGGTTGTGTTTATTATGTGCCAATAAATGCTATACTAGGCTAAAGTAAAATAATTTAGGATTTATGTATTCTCAATTTGATGTCCGTCAAGTATTAATTATGTCACTGCCTGCAACTGTAATAATTCGATTCGTAACTCGTAACACAAATTTAAAGTCGTGATTGATGATTTTAAGATACAGAGAATATTAATAATCTCAGTATAATTTTATGAAAGATCTTTATATCTCAATATTTTTTGATGTATTTCATTAAGTGATATTTTTGATATTGATCGCGATTTGTTTCATTGAATGCAAACATTATTGAAATTAGGATGTTATTATTTTCAGTTACTTTTTAGAATTAAGAATTTTCGAACTTAGCTTATTGGTGGTTAGTGCTGAAGTTGAATTAGGTGTGTTGTGATGCTTATAATCTGTGTTTTCGGAAGCTATGTAAAGCTTCGCACTAGTAGAAAAAAAATTACATACTGATTAGAATTGACTCTGGAATATGCAGTCATTTTAGGCGTTAGTCGTCGGTAGAACTTGTGTGTGACTAAATTTTTCTCTAAAATTTTAAAATTAAATATTTACGCGTAGATACTTGAGGATGGAAATAAAGGTAAAACAAGAGTAATGTTTGGAAACATGAGTGCAATGCTCGGACATTTTGGATTTATTTATGCGTAAAAAATACTAGCGCTTATCCTTGCCTCAAGAGTGGCTTGCGCAATGCAATTTAGAAGCAATGCTTTCGAGCTTAAAATTATTTTCAAAGAATTTAAGATGCAATATTTTTTAATGTTATTTTTTTAAGCTTTCGCGTGCAATTTTAATTTTTTCGGTTTACTTATTAATGGCGTAAGTCACGCGTAGAACCTGAGCTTGCGCGATTTAAGTTGCAATGCTTTCGAGCTTTAGTCATCACGAATTTTCAGATGCAATATTTTTGTGCTATTTATTAAGCTTTCGCGTGCAATCGACTTCATTTATTTATTTATTTTATTGAATTCCGAGAAATAGTTGCAGGTATAGCTATATCTGCGTCTGTTGCAATGCTTTTGTTTTACAACTAAGCGGCTAGAAATTTTAAATGCAATGTATTCATGCTATTTATTGGTTTCTGTCAATGTTCAAGTTTTACATAATTTGTGATACTATTTCGAGATTTTTTTAGTTATAATTATGGCTTTAATTGTTTTTAATTCAGTCGCGTTTTTTTGATAGCTTTAGCGGTTAAGGTAAGGCGAGATGAAGTGATAATAACTAAGTAATAATTTCAAATATTTAAAGACGTTATTCTTAATTTCATTTTTATTGTATTCTTTAATATGAAATAAAAGTTGTGTAGTTCATTCTCTTTGTAATGTAGACACCACTTGTTCTACAGCTTTAACCATGTTTTGAATGAGTTATCGTTTTGTTTATTGATTTGTATGTTGCAAGTCTACAAAACCATATTCATTAGTACGGTTTGAAAACATGCATTGGTTGATCTCAACTTACCTTCGTTGTTTTTATTTATAATATAATACGGTTGTGTTCCTGTGTGTCACTGCCAGAAATAAGCCAAAAATAATGGTTGTGTAAACTTTGTGCACGTTACTTATTTATTTACTGATTGTTGGATGAAATGCGGATGGTTAGTGACTAACGTGATGTCAATGCTCATTTGTTGTATGTTCTTTGATAGTTTTTGAAATGTGGCATGTTATCAACTTCATACATAGGTTTTTGCGATTGTTACACATAGGAAATGAAACTATTTTTTTAGATTTTTTTGACTAAGCCAGCCGTGACCATGAGCCTTTTGGCTCGAGACGTTAGTCTGTTCGAAAACACAAATTTACGTAGTTTACGACCTGAAAAAATAGTTTCCTTTCTAACGTAGCAGGGTAGTCGACTTATTCAATGTTTTTCCAAAGGCGACGTCTCAAGACTAGTCATTATTTCGTGAAATTCAATCAACTTATCTGTAATGATGGCACTTCACGTGGCTAAATGTATTTGATGTATTTGGCTAACATTTCCATGTGTAAATAGCATGTATGACAAAATATTTGCTTTATTTACCTATTCGACAAATATCGCAAACACCAAACACTCGTTACCGCCTGCTGATTGGTTTCTCGGCGCACATCAAACGAGTGAAATAGGCAAATACGCAAGTAAACTGTCCACAGTATGGTTACATTTGGCTCCATGTAATAATAATATAACACACACATTTAACAAAGCCCCGCCTAGGGAAACCCTGTGTCGCAGGTCCATGGCAACCGCGACACACAAATTAGACCCAAACTCACTAGATAAATAAATGTGTGCCATACAAATATTTCTCCCGGCCCGGGTAGCGAACTTGGGGCCTCTGCGTGGCAGTCCGGCATGGTAACTGTTCGGCCACAGAGGCAGTTAAATGTGTAGATGACAAATTTTGTCAGTCAAATATTTTTCCAAGTACAACAAATACATAATGGCGAAAAAAATGCCGTGTGAAGTGGCACCAATGTTGGCGAAAAAACGAACTACCACGTGGAAACGACCTTGCATTGTGCTATTGTAACTTGTAAAGCTGTATACGACGCGTTACAATTCATTGAAAATAAGTTGATGGAACTGCACATTTGCATCTAACACGGCATAATGACGGCTACCTTTATCACACTGTAGTGCACTATTATTTATTTAGCACAGTAAGTTCATGATTCGCCCTGTTAAAATGTTACTATGGTAGCCCCCATTATTTGTACACAATATTTCGTGTTAAGAATGACATTGTAGCACAAAAGTGTAGAGTCAACAATATCATTCTCTCCACATTGTTTTCATTCCACGTTTTCCTTGGCTGTGTGTAGTACCTGTTTCGTATAGTTTAAATATAGTTAGATGTTTATAACTTTGTTAAACTTAAGATTGCGGTGAAGATTTTTATCACATTGAATTAGAAACTCTGCACTCTTGCAGTTCAGCACTTAGTATGCGTCATATATGTGATATGTGTGGTACACCTTCAAATAGCAAACGAAAATCCCTTTTTAAACCTCACATTGAGCAAGCATGGTAAATGGCATAGTCCACTCTCAAGTCGTAGTAGAAGACCTATAAGTTGATATTGAATCAGAAGTATAATTATAATAACGCGTACGCACTCATTGCCCCGCACTAGGGAAACCCTGTATCGCGGGTGCCATGGACACACATATAGACAACCACAAATTCCACACTCACGGGAGAAATAAATGTAGGCCATACAAATATTTTTCTGTATCTAATGGAGCAATAAATATGTTTGATGTAATTCCACTTATGCCATTCATCCATAAGGGGTGCGAAGTATACCCTGTTTATTCCTACTCTGGCTCTTTCTGAGCTTCCATTGGGAACATGGCAGCGGTTCTTTGCGTTCGACTTGGGCGACTGAAGTAAAGGTCCCGCGGTCGGTTACTAGAGTGACCTTTTAGAAAACGAAACTTTTTTATTAAAAACATAATTCAGCATTTTACCTCCATCTCACCTGATGGAGAGTGCAGTTGAGGTCGACGATGGAGCATGCACACCTAAATAATGCCTATTCAATTTGACCTTGAAAAGGTCCAAGTTATAGCGTTCAAGCAACAACGCTTAAGGCAGGGAATTCCACTCCATAGTCGTTCGCCATATGAATGTGAAAGCGAAACGCTTTGTGCAAACTCTTCGAAGTTTTGGTCTGGGTGTCATGGGTATTGTCACCAGAGTTCATTTCGCTATTATGGTACTCGTAGTAAATAGAATTCTCAAGTTGAGACCGGGCAATAAGTGATTACCTGGCACATTATTTTTATTAACATCCTTATGATTGATATTCAGCGTGATAAAAGTATTTGCCGTATCTACTTATATTGGATGAGATATTAGTCATAGTAAAGCTATCTACCTTTAGAAATGTGAACCTTATTACTATTAGATACAAACGCGATGGTCCTGTATCAGTCCTGTAGACATGGGACTGTACATTTTAAAGTGTGTACACCAGAAATTTTTTAAACATTAATAAATTAAGTATTATTGGAATTTTAATGTAATTGACCTCTCTCGACTAATTTCTCATTCCTTACGTAAAATCGTTTGTGGACAAATGAGTAAGAGTATTATTAAATTGCATTAATATTAACCTTGTGGTTTAAGACGCGTAAAACTGTTAAATGAATTAATAATTTATATATTTTTTATGGAAATTCCCTTAATTCGTACAAACGTTAAAGTTTTGCGCTTTTAACTCCACATTGTAACGTAGTATTAGAATTTATGAATGTAACACAGTAATTTATTGTAAATGTTGCACCGTCGATGTCTCTATTGCGAGCTTGTAAATCTATGTAATAAATGATGTGTTTATCAATTTATGAAAGGTTGTATAATTTGATCAGTATTGAGAAAACTACTTTTAACAAACATTTCAATTATTTTCTTCATTGTAAGTGTAATTTGTGACTACATTTTAATTATTCGGTGACAAGTAAAACACCATCTGAGGTATGGCTAGTATTGTTTAAGTAACAGACTACGCTTCGCAACACTTACGGACGACAGCGACATAACCTCATGCGTAGCGCATGATTGCCCCGTAGCGGTATCGTAGCGGGTGCTACGCATGTTGTGGCTATAACGTCACGATGACAGACTCTTTCGTAATCTTGCGTCAGTCGCGAGTTTCCCAAAGGTGCGATATACACAAATAAAGATCTATGTATGATGTGATTCGTTGTTGTCATTCGAAACTTCTGACGGTTGTTGCGTCAGAATGTAATGCCTAAAATATAACTTTAGAGCTAAAATGCCAATTTAGATTTAGAGAAGCTTTTGTCAGCAAGTTTATTTAACGTCCAGTAGGTAGTCGTTAAGTTTAAAAAAGTATGAAATGTAATGGATTACGATTAGTTGCCGTAAAGTGTATTGGGGGAGGGCGATGGGCGCGTGGGTCGGTGGGCGTGCTCGCGCGGGCGTCGGGGAGGGGCGGCGCGCTAGCGGTGGCGGGGGAGGGGCGCGAGCACGTGCCGCGCGCTCACGTGGTGGTGCCGAGCGCGCTGCTTTGCGCGTTCGTGCCGGCCGTATGAATAATTGTGTACGGAGTGAATGAATCGATGCGGCGGCGGCGCGCGGAGCGGGGTGCGGGCGGCGGCGGCGGCGGCCGCTGCGTGGCGGGGTGCGCCGCGCGCCAGTCTCGTGCCGGTAGTCGGTAGTGCAGCCGAGCGACTCCGGGAGCCGTCCCCGCCGCGCCGTCGCTCGCTCGTAGTTGTAGTGCGCCTATCGGCGCCCGAGCCCATGGAAACCCAGAATCAGGACGTGGCCCACAGCCCTGCTGAGGTGCCCAACGATCCAGGGTACGTAACCTAAGTTTTGCCCTTTCAATGTTTACTTTCGCTACTAGTATCTAATCACATGCTTGTCTTGCAGGAAGATGTTCGTCGGAGGACTCAGCTGGCAGACTAGTCCAGGTACGCTCGCCGTTGATCGCCGGTCTCGCTCTACCCGAGCGGATGCAGTCGATGCACCTTTCGGTGACGGTTGCTCGGCCCTAAAACCGCGCAAGGATTCATTTGCGTTCCGTGAAACTATAAATGTGTACCGTTTTCAGTGACGAAGTATATACTTCGGCGTATAAACATCGGTAAAAGTTTGGTAATCAGCTGATTAGTTGCGACCCAAAGTTGGCGGTGTCGGTGGACGGCATACAGTGCGCGTTACGATGCCCGTGGATATGCGTGTCGGGGGTGATTCGGTCGTAGTAAGCGTGTGAAATATACCGTAATTCAGTTATGATGTGAAGGTGTATCGGAAGTCAGGTGTGCAGCGGACGCCATACCGGCTGCGCGCGCAGCCTCCGCCAACGCTTCGACCTTTCCGCCCACAGGCTTGCGAACGATTTTCGTCCTTATCATGAATAATTTTCAGTAGAAAATTCTACTTGAGATTTCCCAGCCGGCTTTCACCCCGAACTGTAATAACAACATAACCTCAATCTAAAGTACGTAGAGCATGATATCGGCGCGCTTCTGTCTTCTTAGGTCTATTGTATAGGTATAACAATTGGCAATAAGAACACTAACTTGTATTCAAAAGTTGTAAATTATTTGAAATACACAACAAGTCGTTATTCATTGTTTTATTCCAATCAATCCTGAAACAATTACCGTCTAATTTAAATTAAATTTTTTATTGTAAAATAAAATTGATTTCCGCTACAGTACAGCGATCAGATTGATGAAATTTTCAATTTCTTTTTTCAAAATTTTAGTTTTTTTGGATATTTAAATTTATGCGACGTAAAATAATCGTTTCTCTTGCAGCTACAAATTATATTTACTTTAACGATCCCGTGGACGCATAATGGAGGCCATCAATTTTATTGTGCGTTCAAATTAATTGCGCGAGTACGACGCAGAAGGCCGGACCTTTGCGCATGCGGCGGTAGGCAACGCACACTACTGTCACCGGCACCGGTATTGGGTCGCGCCCACGCTGCACTTTGATTCCCTATATCTATGCCAACTTTGTACTCTGGCGATATCTAGGGCGGTGCATAGCCAATGTACTCGAGATATTATCGGCTCGATCGATCGCTCACTCACTTCTCTACCGAGAAATATCAAAATAACGTTTGATCTCTCACGTCCGTTAGCTTTACGCTGCATTTTAAAATAATAAACATGGAACTATCCGTCCTGCTCTTACTATATTCCCGTTTATAACGAATCTTATTCCCGCTGTATGAAACAGACGTCTACATTGATTTAATCCGTTGCCTGTTAACTATCTCTCCCTTTGACAAACCTGTGATACTTTTTGCCCGTTTACGTACGTGAAACTGCATAGTACGACTTTTATAATACGTTTACGAAGACTTTTTAACTGCAGGTGTACAAATAAAAAAGAACGACTTGTTCATAACATTTCGGGACGCCCCGCCGTGTAGTAAATATTATATTCATATTCCGAGATATTTACTCAAGATGTTTTCTGTGGCTACGACGATAAGATAATTTTTGAAATTAGTATCACGACAGTGCGTTATCAGTTGATAGGAACCACGCTTATGGACTTAATCACAGTGGAATATACATCATATCTATGTCCTCGAAATACTAGCTGTCGTCGTGAAAAATAAAAATCAATCACAACTTGACGATAAGATTGACATATACTGACGCTCCCAATTTATTTCGTTGTAAATCAATGAATTAGATAAGAGCATACTAACCATTCCGGGATATTGCGAATTCAATTAAAGTGTAGGTCGTAGTACTATATTTTCATAGAGTTAATCACTTTACTGCGAAATATTGGACCGATTTTCCGAATGTCAACGTACTTGCCTGTTATTGTAGAGCAAAAAAAATGTTGTTACACTACAATCTCATCTATGACACTTATACGTATTATTATACGTAGAATTAATTTCAAATTTGGAATTGAGCTATTACGGTAAATTAAGGAAATCCGATCATCCGTGATGTGGTGAGATTTCAGCGCTAGCTAATGATAATTTAACGAGAAAAAAATAATTTTAGAACCGCTTGCTGGTAGCTTTTACGTTTGTCAGATCATAAGAGATGTTTCCTTCAGTCGAGACCTTTTGTTGAAAATAAGTACAATTACTTCGTTTATTAAATGGGACGACGATGGGTTAAGTTATTCTGGTTTATATTACCAAAGCAGAAATCATTATTTCTTTGTTTCCATGCGCACTGAGTTCTCTGAACAAAAGGTAGAGCTCTATTATCTAGCTCGCTTCTCGCGCTTGACATATCATTGACACGCTAGCTTTAAGATTTACTCATTTACTAGCTGACTGTGGCAGATAAACATTGCGTTAAATGCATAATGTGGATGTTTTAGTTATTTTACATACAAACACATTTAGTTGAGGATGCGTGCTTATCTTCTAATATTTATTAATATGTACGAGTTTTATGACGCTTTGTGCTCAAGTAGTTTATCTGAATGCAGTAAAGTCGTATCCCGTTATAATAACTGGTCAGGGACTAGTTGATTGTCAACGCGTTGTTACAGAAGCGTAAAGTTACGGATACTCGTTACATACATACATAATACATAATATCGTCGGTTAAAAGGTAAAACTCATTAAGTGACATTTTGTTCAAAAACTAGATTTTTTCAATTTTGCTTTATTGGGAAGAACATCTATGACAAGAAAAATTCAGTAAGTCTGTGGTGTCCTTCATGTTTTAATACATACCAGTCCTTTAGTGATTTTTCATAATGAAAAAATACAAAATCTTAATTATCTCCCTTTGGCCAATTAGGCTATTAGTGAGTTTTACCTTTTAACCGACGATATGTCAGTTACAGTAACTATTCTGTTATACAACTTTGCCGCGGCTTTGACAATCTCGTATGGATAAAATGTGGGAGTTAAGCATTCAGCTGATTTTCCGTTAAATCAGATTTATTCACCGAAGACAGATGAGTTAACAATAAAAGTATATTTATCTATAACTAACATTTCATGGTTCTCTACATATTTACCTGCCCATTTCAAATTTACAATTTTTGTTTAAATGCCACCACCGACAGGTGCTGTTCAGTCAATTTTTAAGTTTCGAACCGGTAATGCTTAAGTTCGTCGACTTTTGTTGTTAGACCGAATAATACTGATGCGAAAGGGATCGCCGCTGAACTCGTTACGCCTATTGAGAAGACGATTGTTTGACCGACTCGTGCGCACGCGGATTGTGTCGGCGCCTTTACTCTATGGTTTTGTTATACGACATCCTTAGATTTCTTAGTACCTAATTCTCCAGTCATTTGTGATGCCCTTCTTTATATCGTATTTTTCATTAAGAAAACCAGAGCTTTACAGCTATCAGCCTTAAATATTGAATCAATTAATGAATTTGGTATCGGTTGAATTTTGATAGAACACAATGTTTGTCTATACAATATTTTCTCCATATGTCGATTTTACCATGAATTTTTACTGTAGATACGCACGAAAAAAAATGAATTTAAACAAAATCTACGAATAATCCGTTCGAATGCTGGAAATTATCATTGAATTTCCTGTGAAGACAAAAGCGCGCGAACCCCTTTCAGAGACTGAAAGGGTCACAACTCAATTCCTTACTCGATTGCGAGGAATTCACCTTCGCCTTCATCTATTATTAATCCAGAGATTTTGCATACGTTGAATAATGCAGCAGGCGAGTCTCTGATGCAGAACGAACGGATTGTCCTTATTTAATTTCCACTTTGAGAGAGGTTCGCTCGATGACGCAGACTCGCGAAGTTGCTGCCAATCAGGGTGTACAACTTGGTGTTTCAAGCCCAGTCTTGCTTCAGTCGTGACGGTTTAAGATTCGATACCGATGTAACTGTAGGCATTACCTAGTGCTTATTGGGAATATATCTCATTACGTTAATTTGAGTGGTACCTCGGTTTGACACTGTTTCTAAACTGTATGCAAAGATAGAAATAGGTTTACGAGTTACAAACGCGGTTTCAGAAAACCTCTGTTTTCCCGTTTGTTTAGTTATGGATAGAGGTACCTATATACAGCCATTGTAAAAACGACATTTGTTTGTTCTGTTTTATAAATTAATCTAAAAAATATTTTAGAAATGCTTCGTATTCCGTTCTAATAATAAAAATTCTTCCCATTCTAAAAACAAGATTCGTTACCCTCCACTAGTCTTGTGATCGGAACGTAATTCAAACTGCCAACGGATATTTCCTGTGGTACTATATTAGTTGTAGATGTTGGGATCCAGCAGCTGGGTTTGACAGCACTCCAGAAAAACATTCGTTGATCGACCCCTTTCTCAACCAACAGTTCGCTAATCCTTTGGACATGTGTCGTAGCTAAAGCTGTGAGGTTACTTACAATATCTTTTTGCCGAAGTTTTTGTTTAATTAAGTATATTAAAAAGAGAAGTCTACGTAATCCTTGAAATTAGGCACTGGTACAATATCAGTTATCATAATCACATTTCTGTTACAAAAAATATATTAAAATAATTTGGTGTTTGAAGTTGTGTTCGACATGATTCGTTGTTTCATTTAAAATAAAATAGGTAGGTAACCACAGATGCAGTTGGATTGGAGCTTGAAAAAACATTTGCATGAGTAAAGGTACACTTTCACGTGGTTATTTGCCGACGATCTGACAGGGAAAAGATTAAAGAAGTGTTCAGAAGAGTAGCTAGTGAAGAGTCGACCGCATTACCGCAAATCTTGGTATAATCTCCTCACAAAGCGCGCTGTTGGTATGTGAGCAAACAGTTTTTGGTTTAGGGACCGGATAAACGTACCGTTTTGTGAGTTTCAACGGCCACAAATAGACAACCAGTGCGTGCGAATAATTCTGCAGCACACATAGACATAAATCAAGGAGAGAAAAAATAATAAATCATCGAGTAGCTTTTAGCGAGCAATAAACCACAGGATAACCGTTTATTTTGTTTTGAAACGCGCCAC